CCGGGAGGGCTATTATTTCACCCAACTAGTAAGTATCACACTTCATTCTGGGTAGAGACATTGCGATCATCAAAGGGGGAGTGCAAATAGATAGGGAGATAAGTTTTAATGGACATAGAATTGATGTTTCTACTGGGACATACTAGATTCTTTTCTAATTTGGTTTAGAGTTTGGATTGTAAGGGTACCTAATAGGTCCTACAGAGAGGGCACAGTGGATAATTAGGGGGTGAGAGGCCAAATTCTACTTAGCACTCTTACACAGGCTGATGAATAACTCTAAATTAGCCAATATTCTTTGCTAGCACTGCGAGGGGGTAAGGAATAGGAATGCTCTTATTTTTCACAATACATCATCATATTTTTAGTTTGAAATCCTACATAGATTAATATCTCATTGCAATGGGAAAGATATTTACATATTATTCAAACTAGTTAGAATTACTTTTATTAAACTGTTAATCATAGTTGTTTCTATCTGTTTTAATTTAGTTTTAACTATTGCAATCATATCATTTTTATTTAATCTGCAATTCAAATAGAATTTTCTTCTGAGTTTGGCAAGCAAATTTATAAGACTCCAATTATCATTGTGGGATCAATACTGGGGTTTTTAAAAATAAATCATATATTACATTGAATGATACATATACTTGCATAGTACCTCTAGTGTGAAGTATTATTATTTATTTTCCATATCATTTCATTTATTCACACTAGTCGCTGAAATTTGGGTCAAAATTTTATTAATATTTTGGAGATTAAAAATATACATAATTGATGGTCGGGTCAAGTTTTTGGCGCCGTTGTCGGGGATAGGAAACGAAAATTTTTAAATTTGGAAAGTAAACTTTTTGATTTGTAATTTAGTTTGAATTGTAGATTTTATTTTATTTAAAATTAAAAATTGAAAAAAAATCCAAAAGAAAGATAAAAAACTTAAAATATAAAATCCAAAAAATAAAAAAAAGCTGAAAAAGTTAAAAGAAAGAAAAATCTCTTTTATTTTGTTGTGTTATTTTTTTTTTTGAAATAATATCATTTGTATGCGTAGTTCGAGATCTGAAGGTTTAGTGCCTCATAATTCTAAATTAGAATGTACTATAAGAAAAATTCGAAAATAAGGAAGACTTTAAAATTTTCAAGATATGGTGAACACTTCATAAATAATATTGAAATTCAAAATATTGAAAATGAACATCATAATTTACAAAAAAACTTTCAGGGATTATGCAAATCCTATGACATATGAAATTCACTTAAGTATTCAAACTCCTTCTATAGTAGCTAACTCATTTGAACTTAAACCTGCAATAATACAAATAGTACAAAATAATTAGTTTGGGGGAACACCAAATAAGGATCCAAATTTACATCTTATAAGTTTTTTTAGAACTGTGTACTACATTTAAATATGATGGTGTATCAAATGATGTCGTCAGACTTAGACTTTTTCCTTTTTCATTAAGGGATAAAACTAAGATGTGGTTATATTCATTAGCACCTAGATCTTTTTAAACTTGGGAAGATTCGACACAAAAATTCCTGGCTAAGTATTTTCTACCTTAAAAAACTGCTAATCTTAGAAATGATATTACTTCTTTTACTCAGTATGAATGGGTTTACAAAGTTTGGGAAAGATTTAAGGAACTCCTTAGAAAGTGTCTACATCATAATTTACTAGGTTGGATAATTGTTTAAACTTCTTATAATGGCTTAGTTGTATCGTTTAGATCTATCATAGATGCTGCTCCTGATAGTTCATTAATGTCTAAACCATTTAATGCAGCCTATGCTTTAATTGAAGAAATTGCTACAAATAATTTTTAATGGCCTTCTGAAAGGGTAAATTATAAGAAAGTAGCCTATATTCGTGATAATGATGCCATTTTAATCATTGCTTCACAAGTTGCTACATTATCTAGGAAAATAGACCAAATTTGAATAAATTTTTCTCAAACACCTCAATTGATTGAAGAAAATTCATTATCACAAATGCTTGATTCTCAAACTTTATTAGAAACTGCAAATGATATTGATAAGCCCAATAACCCATATTCCAATTATTATAACCTAAGTTGGAAAATTCCTCCATACTTTAGCTGAATAACAATTCTAGTGGTGGAAATCAATAATGGGGGAAAAATTAAGTAAACCCATTAGGAAATTGGAACAATCAAGGTAATTCTAACTTTATACCTATTTATCCTCCTAGATTTAACAGTATTCAACAATCAACAAGTTAAGGAGAAGAAGTTGTCTTTAGAAGAAGTGGTGTTACAAATGGGTAATCAAATACAGAGTCAGAGTGCTGCTATAAGAAACATAGAGAATCAACTGGGACAAATTGCTAACGCACTTAGCATTAGGCCTCAGTGAACACTTCTTAGCAATGTTGAGATCAATCCTAAAAATAAAAGTAAAGAGCAAGATCAAGTTAAGGCTATCCAATTAATAAGTGGGAAGGAATTGAGTGTTGGTGTTCAAAAAAAAATCGAAGTTGAGAGAGAAGATAAAAAAACTGAAAAACCTGAAGAAAGTATTCTTAAGGAAGTGGAAAAACCTATTCTCCAACTAAGAAGAATGTAGAAATACCACTGACCCGACCCTCAATTACACAGATATTTATATTCCTTAATATGCTAAAAACTTGACCCAAATTATGTTTAGCGGCTAGTGAGAACAAATATAATATTATGATAAAATTTAAAGAAATAATTTTCTCACTAGAGCTAAGATACAAGTATACATATTGTTTCAAGTAATATAGGATTTTCTATAAAAACCCCAGTATGGATCCCACAGAGAAAAAGTAAACGAAAAGAAATGAAATACATAAATTTCAACTTTAAGAGAAATTTACTTAAAACTACAGGAAATATTTAAAGATGAAAATTAAGTTTATTAATCTTTACAAAATGCAAGTAAAACTAATTGTAAATATTTTATATAATGTATAAAAAGAGACTTTCTTCTTGCAAATAATTCATAATCAGTACAGGATTTCAAATGTTTAGAAGCTTAAATATGATATTGTGACAAATAGGAACATACATACTATTTACTTCATTCGATTTTGTAAAGAACATTGACTAATCTAAAGTTGGTGTCGACATATATAGTAGTGTTGGGTAGGTTCTAGTCTCTCACTTCTAGATTATCCACTGTGCCCTCTCTATAGGATCTACCAGTGACCCTTAGTTCCAATCCATATACCAAATTGATAAAAGAATTAACATATCACTCTAAAAACATCAATTCTACCCCCATCAAATCTTATCTCCCTATCTATTTTCGCTCTCCTTCAGATGATTGCCACTGCTCTTTCTAAGGTAAAATGTGATACTTACAAGTTAAGAAATCTTAGCCCTTTACAAAATGCAAGTAAAACTAATTGTAAATATTTTATATAATGTATAAAAAGAGACTTTCTTCTTGCAAATAATTCATAATCAGTACAGGATTTCAAATGTTTAGAAGCTTAAATATGATATTGTGACAAATAGGAACATACATACTATTTACTTCATTCGATTTTGTAAAGAACATTGACTAATCTAAAGTTGGTGTCGACATATATAGTAGTGTTGGGTAGGTTCTAGTCTCTCACTTCTAGATTATCCACTGTGCCCTCTCTATAGGATCTATCAGTGACCCTTAGTTTCAATCCCTATACCAAATTGATAAAAGAATTAGCATATCACTCTAGAAACATCAATTCTACCCCCATCAAATCTTATCTCCCTATCTATTTTCGCTCTCCTTCAGATGATTGTCACTGCTCTTTCTAAGGTAAAATGTGATACTTACAAGTTAAGAAATCTTAGCCCTTTACAAAATGCAAGTAAAACTAATTGTAAATATTTTATATAATGTATAAAAAGAGACTTTCGCCTTACAAATAATTCATAATCACTATAGGATTTCAAATGTTTAGAAGCTTAAATATGGTATTGTGACAAATAGGAGCATACCTACTATTTACTTCATTCGATTTTGTAAGGAACATTGACTAATCTAAATTTGGTGTTGACATGTATAGTAGTGTTGGGTAGGCTCTAGTCTCTCACTTCTAGATTATCCACTGTGCCCTCTCTATAGGATCTATCAGTGACCCTTAGTTTCAATCCCTATACCAAATTGATAAAAGAATTAGCATATCACTCTAGAAACATCAATTCTACCCCCATCAAATCTTATCTCCCTATCTATTTTCGCTCTCCTTCAGATGATTGTCACTGCTCTTTCTAAGGTAAAATGTGATACTTACAAGTTAAGAAATCTTAGCCCTCTCAGGTCTATAAATTTTCTCAACAAATTTTAACAATACAAATGATCAATTTATAAATTAAATGAAGATCTGATAAAAATAACAATAAGAATAAAAGAAGTTCTAAACAAAATCAAAATCACATACTTAATTACTTCATATTGCAATGAGAAAGAGAGAAAACTACTCAAAACACATAGGGATAAGAAAACAAAACATATTTATAAAACTCAAATCTAAAGTACAAGACTTAAAGAAAAATATACAAATACTTATCTCGAATGATTCCCCAGCACTCGTTTGAAGTTCTCTGACTTTTCTGACTTCAACAACACTTACAGGACTCACAAACTCCAAAAATCACAAAGACTCGCAAAGAAAACTACTCACACGCTTAACACACACACACACTATGTGACTCTATATATCCGACCCACCTAGGTAGCAAAAGGCACATTTCACCTTTAGAACGTTAATAATAATGGAATTTCTTATATGATGTAAAAAATTTGAGTGATATGCATATAAATATGAAAAAATTATATGTTAGATATGTAAATACATAAGAATTTTGTCATATATACGTAAATGCCATGACAGTATTTTATAGTATTTTACACCTCCCAGTTTATCAGCATGCATTCAATGTCCATTCCACAAGTGTAGATACAGTCTACAAGACTGAAATAATTTTCATTAATGGGCAAAAAATATAAAATGCATTCAATATCTTTCAATATTCTATTTTTAATTTGAAAATTTATTCAGGACAAAAGCCGCAAAAGAAAAGCAAAACTAACAATTAAAAAGAATCGATGTTAATGTATTTGTTCTGCAACGTTCTGATGTACTCCATGCGTATTGTTTATGGTACTAAGGATCCATAGAAAGCCAAAATAATTGCCCAAAATGATACAACGAGCGCGGTGCAGTTACCGATGCCATTCTTCTGAGAATTACCTGTAGCAGCATATTCAAAAGCAAATATCAAACTTGAATAATAAAGAAAATAATAGATCATGGATAAGTCATAAAATGCAGTATAAATTTATGTTGTTATGGAATAGATCAGCTTATGGATAGCCCAATAAAATTGTATCTAATCAATGTAAAGTTTAAGAGATTTTTTATTTAAAATCCGGTATATTAAAAGTTGTATGACATAAACTCCACAATCATCAATGTAAATAAGATACAAATTATCTGATTATATACATACACGAACTACTTTAATAAATTAATTTTTCTTATATTTAAAATGACTTATTGTAAGCATTGGGACCTCATTTATGGTTAGCCAATGAGGTTACCCCTCCTTCACGTTCATAAAAATTTAAAGGAAAACATGCCATGGTCAAATATCTCTACATGTACAAGCAACTTAAGGAAGCATATTGTCACGGATTAACTTATCTCAACTCACTCATGTGACTTCAGCGCTCTTCATTGGTACTAAATCAGTTTAATCCTCACTACGCTTGGAGTTGTAAGCACAAAAACTCTTGGAAAAATAGTAGGGAAAAATATTGGAGAGAGAAGCACTTCACTAAGGAAAAAGTGATTACAACTGTTGAATGCTTGCAAACCTTGGATAGTTCTTGGATAGAAACAAAATGAGGGGGGGACTCCTATTTATAATTCTCTCCAAGACTAAGAGAACTTTCTAGATTATATTAGAATATAATAATTTCTAGATAGTTCTACATTATTCTTTACATATAAATGATTCTAGAACTTTATAGAATATTCTAGAATTCCCTTGAAGTGTGTTTCTTTCAGCATATTTCTAAAATTATGTAGAACCTTTTATAATTCCTTAGAATATTCTTCTTCCTTCTAGTTTATTTCTAGATGTAGTGGAATCTTCTAGAGTCCATTGGATTGCTCTCTTCATTCTAATCTTCTCTAGAATCTTCTTTTCCCATGATTAACTTGCCAATTATTCTTGAAGATAGCTGAGTATGACAATATGCTCCCTACAAAGTTTGCAATGAGGTCAAAGGGAGATAATAATCATACATTATAATCTCAGCTTTTAGTGAGATCTCACATACAAGCGAATTAGCTTTATTCAAGTTCATTGGAATATATAGGAGTTCTGCATTAGCCCATGAATTCATGTATTTTTTTCTCATCTCTAATGGCATACATGAGTACCACATTATACCACTTGAAGGAGTCATTTTTCCAAGTCTAGAGAGTGGATAATGCTGATCTAAAATATTAATGAAATATTTCATCCAGAACAACTATTCTGAAACCCTTAGCGGTTAATTAGCATTAAAATTGTTTTCTTATAATAACAAGGAAATTGAAGTTAATTTAATGACTAAACAAATGCTGGATGACATTTTCTCCGTCATTCAGGCAAAGGAAATCAATGGCGCATGAACCTATGGGCTTGTGTCTTTTTGTAATGGATCTGTGAATTAGAACAATTTTTATTTCCAAAAAAACGGCAGCGAGCTGCTTCATTCATTCTTATAATGAGACTAACTAGCTTGCAGTTGACTTCTCCATGAGCACCTAAGAAAAGCCAAGTCATCATCAAGAAGGAGAAGCATTTTAGTAAAGAAAACATTATGTTATAATTGCAGAAGACACCATCTACAAAGTAGCACAACACAAGCTTTCACACATCATCTGTATCAATGCATTTCATTGAAGCATTCTCCAACGCTGCATTTTTGAAATTTTTATCCTCACCCAAGTAGCCCTTGAGAAATTTGCTACTTGCCTATCTTCAGACCATCTTTGATTCATAAGCAAATCTTGTTTAAATCTTCTTTGAACAACTTCCATGTATGATCAAATTATCTTCAAACCTTCTTAGAACATGAAAAACTTTATTCATGTTCAAAAAAAGAGTTCGAAAATATTCAAAGAAGGTTCGATCATGTGTTGAAGATGCTCAAAAAAGGTTCAATAAGGCATCAAAGATAGCTTAAAGATTGCTCAATCGAGCTATAAATAACTTAAAGACTCATCAAAAGTAGGCAAAGATGGGTCAATAATTTTGAAGATTATCATGGTTCAAAGATTATTCAAATTGTTTTATAATAATTTATTCATAATTTAAACGTGAACAGGGTTGGATATAAGATAATAAGTTTCTAACAGTAATGGGATTTATTGTTTAAAATGTGAAACCAATTTTTCATCAAGTTTGCGATATGCTTCAAAAAAAAATAACCATATAAAGACAATAAAAAAGACCATCATTTGCCACAAGTCGAAGATGCTCACTCTACAATATTTGATTCAAAGTAAGGCTATGAAAAAGAAAGAGTCATGAAACTCTTCAAAAGGTCACATAACAGTTTGAGAGCAGGCATTTCAATTCAAAGGATTTTTTTAGCACATTTTCCCAAGAATTGAAACAGCGAGCATATTTTTCTAATTTTAAAAATTATGAAGTATATAAAATATAAAGTCAAAAGTTCCTATCACAATAACCAAAATAATGTAAAAAAGATTCAAACCACTTTAGGCAAAATAAAATTGCTGCCGTCAAAAAGAGAGCCTAACTTTTTAATATAGTTGATACTTTGTTACTTAATATATATTATGTTTAAATTGAAGGTAAAAAAGATATTGCAAATAGAAGATATAGCGAAGGGGATTTACAAACATATCATAGTATTTTTATGCATTTACGTTAGCTAATACCTAAATCTTTATATTTTTTTAACGCCCTAGCATCTAAGTCACATCAAAATATAAGCACAACAAGGCATATCTAACTTTAGACAAGTTAATATTAGTCATAATTTTGATCTAATTTAAATATTAGAGTGTCATACAAGTAAATTTAAAAATTTAAATGTTATATAAACACATAAGAATTTTATGGAATTTATATAAATTCCCCTATACCAAATCACTTGAATGAATATGTCCAATGAAACCTCAAACAGAAAAGTGCAATGATTAAGACTTAAATATAAGGAAATGGAACAAAATGAGGACATACCAAGCACAAGATATTTGTTCTTAATGCTCCACTCAAAGTCCCAATGTTTCTCTTCACTCTTGAGGGTCCAATATGACCAACCAAAAGTGGCACTACGGTAAACTTCCAATTGAGTGCTTCCAAATATTTGATACTCAATCCGAGAGGCATTTGTCACATTCCACTCATTCACCCACTCACCTGAACAGCATAAAAATCCAATTTTTCATTTTGAGAATGAAGAAGTGTCCTCAAACTTGATGAAGAATTAGTAAACACAAAACTAAAGAAGGTTTGTTTGGGTTTTTTTTTTTTTTTTTTTTTTTTTTTTACTTTAACTTTAAAAGTACGTTTGTCTAGTATTTATTTTGGATGGTTTTTATTTTTGTTTTAAAAAAGAATAACTTGTTTTTAAAAATACTTAAAACATCTAAAATTTATTTTTTTAACTTTTTTTAAAAACACCTAAATATGTTATAACATATCAAACACGTTTTAGTTCAAGTAAAAACATAAAATAAAGCAAGTCAAAAAATAAAAAATATAAAAATCAAAAGTGATCCAAAAGGGGGCGTTGGAGATCACTTTTGTTTCTTATTTCTTATTTTTATTTTATTTTTTTTATTTATATTTTGATTTGCAATAAAATATGCTTAGCATATTTGATTAAGATATGATAGTCTTTAAAAGAACACAAAACATTAAAAAATTCCTTCGAGTATTTTCAAAAATAAGTTAGATTATTTTTAGAAGCAAAAAATAAAAGTATGTAAAAAAAAATATTAAACAAACATGTTTTTAAAATAAAATAAAAAAATTAAAAAAAAACAAAAACAAAAAAAAAAACATAAAATTGATCCCAAATAAAAATGACTAAACAAAATAATTAGGATATAGCTTGGTCTGCAATCTTAAATATTAAAAACAACAAGTAAACTCCATACCTACAAAAACAAGAGGTCCATTTGCGCTATTTAGCGCCTGCAACTGTGGCCTCCTGCTGTTGTAAATAAATTGCATATTTTGTAATGGATTTAGATCATTAAAATAAGCATCAAATAGGTTATAATAGTGTACATCTACCACAACATTTTTATCCCCAATGTTTGCTTCATATAGCTCCATGGGATCTGCATTGCCTATCCTTTGACAAACTACAACATAAGCAGTAGAAGAATAGTTCCGTACTTTTTGGTAACCACTTTTGTAATAAGATATCAAAATATCGATTGGAACTGCAGCTGCAGAAGGTTCATTCAATAGCTCAATACCCAAAAGAGCTGGATTATCTGCATACCTTTAAATTGAAGAAGTGAGTTCACATTAATCCTTTTCATAAAGTATTTTGTTATAAAATTATGTATAAAATTTAGGAAATATTATTTCTAGCTGAACAAAGCAAATACATGAACCATATGATTGAAGTAGTAATAGAAGCTGTATTACAGAATGTAGAATTCAAACAAAGTCTGAGTTGTACGCTTAGGAATGTAATGATATTGTGAATTTGAAATAAATTTTAGTTCTTATGGGAAAACACAAGAAGTTGAACAAAATTAATTAGATCAGATATGAATTATATACTTGCAATGAAAATTAGTCAGCTCAGTTTCTTTTTCCTTTTAAAAAATGGAAACCTCAAAATAAAAATTTGTCTGTTTACATGGGGCTATTTTATTCTCATGATTTATAAAAATGTTAAATTAATCCCTAGACTTTTTAAATTGGAGCTGCTAGAATAGTCCTTTATGGGGACTATTCTGGGAGTACTCCAGCCCATATTAAAAGTGTTTGGGGACTAATTTGTTTTTATTATAGACTCTCGGACTTAAATAACTCTTTGCAATTAATCAGGGGATTATTTCAACACTTTTTCTTATTTCTTGATATATAATGTCCACATAGACGAGAACATCGAATCGTGACATACAACATTTAATCTCATGTAAATGAACACAAAATGATATGAATAATCCCATTTCCAAGAAGAATACTTTGGAATATGCCAAGCCATAAAGCCATTGAAAGAAAGTGATAAAACCAGAGACAGACAGTGAAAGAACTAAAATATAATTGCTTTGGGGTATAGTGGCCTTAAGGATTTATGGGATTCATCTCTTTTCTTCACAATCCTCAACATCGATAGCCTTATACAAATTATTTGAGTTGGTTTGATAAACCTCATCTTTTATTTACTCTTATTGAGTGTTACGCGAAGAAAAATATGTTCCACAAAAATCATTTTAAACACCTATTATTTCTGATATCAAGGGTCTATTCTCTTTTCTTTGTTACAGCTGTCTTTTCTACACTTTAATACCATATTCAATAAGATCCACCAAAACTAAAACAAAAAAAGACTGGCATATATACCAGTGTAATTAGCATCAAAATTTTCAAATATCTAGCAGGTCCAAGACATTATGCAGCCATGTAGTTGTATTTGTGCTTCTTATTATAGCGCAGACTACATAGGCAACAGGAAGTCCCAAACCAAATTAATAAACTACTAATCAAATAATGTCCTAGATATAAACAGGAACATAAATCTAAAATTTTTTTCACCATATGATATGGATTTTATCAATAAAATGTCATTTCTGATGGGCAAAAGCTTACTCTTTCCAGTTAGGTTAGGTACATCAGATAAACGATTTAGTAATACAAAAACAAATAATAATATGCTTGAGGCCGCGTGTTTTCTGAGCCAAAGGGGGGAACAAGGGTTAGTGCTAGGTTTTGAGAAGAAGCATCTGATTTTTGATAATTTTCTGTGGCAATTCTACTTTTAATTGAAGTTGTAAACTTTTAAACTCCTATGAGTAGTTCTTTTAAGTTAAAAGTTATATTAGAAATTATTTTAGTTTAGGTTTAAGTCATAACTTAAAATTTTATAAATTAAAAATTTATATTTCATAGATTGCTTAAAATGGAATAAAGTTTCATAGTTACTGGTGCGATCAAGTTGTCCTATTCTTGATTGCAGTTTGGTTAAGATACTCAATCTCTAATTTAGGAAACAATTTTGTTTGTCTTTTGTATGTAAATTTATATGATTTAGCTTTATAGTTAAGCAAGGCATTAGAAAATTTTTATATTGCAAAATGCATGTTTATGTCTTACCATCATAATTAAATGATTGAACACTTTTAAATTATGCAAACAAATATTTAAAGTATTATAAATATTTTAAAATTAAAAAAAAGTATATTATAAAAAGTAAAATAGCTAGTACTGTTGATATAATGCTAAAAAATTTCGAACAAGTTACCGCCTTTTTTCAACTTATACTTGGGTGGTATGTATGTAAATGTCACTTATTACAACTGAGATATACCTTGCAGATAAAAACTCAATGGCATCCAGACTCTGCAAGACGAACTCCGGTGACGACCAGTTTACAGAACCATCTCTGCTAGCACTATGCTCCATTCCATTTTGGGAACCAGGACCAGCATGGAGATCAATAATGCACCTGATGTTGTAGACCCTAGAAAACACGAAGCCAGTAGAGTAAATAGATGAAATAATGGAGGCAGGGCATCAAATAGACAAGTGGGAAACTGAACCTACTGTGCCCACGAGAATGCTCTGTCAAGGGCTGCCAAGGTTCCACCAATAAATGGAGGTGGAGGATCAGGGTCCTCTACAATCCACCATCCAACAGGAATTCTGACAGTGTTTATGCCATGCTCAGATAGGAAAGAAAAATCTTCAGCAGTGACAAAATTGTCCCAGTGGTTCTGTAGATCAGATATAGAACAAAGAACAATGAGGAGGTAATCCACCAGTATAAGAACACTGCCTTGAATGTATTAGCGTAGACATCGGAAATAGAAATTTAAAAGATATTACAAAAAAACCTCATTTAGTTTAATGAAGTTCTGGATTGCCACACAGACTCCCATGAAGGAGAATTAAAATATAGAGTAAGCCGTATCGTAGCTTTCAAAAAGGTTAAACAGCTACATGGCATTGGACTCTAGCTACAAAAAGGTTAAACAGCAACATTGCATTGGATTCTTTTGGTAGTGCACGCAACAACAAACTATTGCCACACTTGGTACTTGATGAATAGCTTTTGAACAGGACCACTAGATATAGTAGTCTACCATCAAAGTTTTTCATTGATGTATCTCTTTTTTTTTCGCTCCAAAAGCAATTAGGCAAAAAAAAAGATTTTACTTTAAACGATTACTAGAGAAAAAGATCAAAAAGGTCTACCAGTTATTTGCAGAAGAGCATTAAGGTCAGAGTATAAAAGTGCCAAAATAGTCCACAAACTCTCTAACTTGGGGCTAAATAGTCCTACCATCCAAACTAACATAAATTGATATTTAAGGTATTAAAAATGGGAGTACTTTTAGAATATATATTTTCTTATTAACTTTAGTTAATCTAGATTATTAATAACCTTAGTTGGCCAAAGTAAAGTACTGCTTGAACCAGACGCTCGCACTCGCCTATCCAAGCTGCATTTACCTCGTTTACGCTCGCGTCACTGAGAAAGCTCCGTTGCTGACAAAAGCATTCACCTAGCCACTAAGGTTGAACCCTGATACTCGTGCTCACCTCATAGAGCTTGCAAGAATGGTTTGCTAGATCTATTTGCATGGTACGACAAGGGCAAATAAAAATAATAATAATAACCCAAAAATAGCCTTTCACCCCTTGCAATTTTGGTGCATTTTCCACTCTTGCCATTAATTTTGTCAAAAGAGGAACTATTCTAGCCATAATTTAAAAAGCTTGAGAACTAATTTGACACTTTTATAAGCTATGGAATTAAAATGATCCTCTTCAAATAGTCAAGGGAGCATTTTGGTCCATTTTATCATTATTAGTATATGCTTATGCCCCCTCACCATGCATAGGATTATGATGTGAAAACTGTAAAACCCTAAGTTTCCAATATTATACTACTTCAAATTTTAGAAATCAACAAAGCCAAGTGATACAGGAATTTAACAAACATCCAAGAGAAATCAAATATTATTAATTATTTCAAAATCTGAAATTATAACAAAACAAAAGGGAAATATGTAATTGCAACAAAATAACAATACACACTCGAACTACGGTAGGATCTGGGGTGGAGGCGGTGTCGGCTAGGGTTTTGGATCTCCGGGAATGTGGTAAGGGAGTTGGCTAGCAAGCTGGAAGATGGCATCAACGATGGGGAAGGCGGTGGCAGCAAAAGGGAAAGTGACGAAAAATAAGAGTAGCAGTGGGAGGTGTTGTTCAGGTTAGTGTTAGCAAGAAAAATAGGGAAAAAGATGTTGGAACGTGTGGAAAATCTTGCGGGAAAGGGGTTCGAAGGATAAACATCATCTGAAGCCTAAGATATCGTCGGAGCACCACTTGAAACCCTAAGATACAACCTACGGAGAAAAAAAGAGACGTTGACTGCTGTCCCGAAATAAATCATAGCAAAAACTAAACCTTAAACACCAACAAAGCAAAATATAGTCCTAGATAACTAGGGTGGGCCCCACTTCAATTGGGTGGCAAACATTAAGCCTAGAGTGCTAATTGACCCTTAATTTCCCATGGATTGAACCAGTGTAATTGTCCCAGACACCCCATTTCAATTTTCAAAGTTGGGGGACCTCATTCGTCCAAACTTTTGTCTCCTCGTATGGAGTCAGTATGGAGCCAGGTCGGTCTAATTGAAGATAACAAAAATAATCTCCCAAAATATGAAGGTCTTCTACTGCTGTTGGCATCAATTTTTTATGTCACGAGTGTAGGGTATCCACCCGCATGACAGGGTAGTTTACGGTCTGTCCGTGACGTCCGATAGTTCAGACACCCACCCGAGACCTTTTCGGCACGTGTTGAGGGGCACGTAGTCAGGGTCATTTTGCTAGGCTATGGCTTTCGCTCAGGTGAAGGCCGGACGGCATTTGACACGTCGAACGACTCCGATCGGGGCAAAAAAATATTATGTGGCGCGTCGCGCGCTATTTTGGCTCGAATTGGCCCGATCACTTGACAAAGTGGTCCAGATGACCCCGC